TATATATATATATATATATATATATATATATATATATATATATATATATATATAAGCATTTGTTCTGCATTAGCGTCGCAATATATAAATCCGTATATATTTATGCCAGTCAATTAGCTGGTCACGTGACCAAGCTGCGTTCCTAAATTCACTGTCAGTACTGAAAATCTATAGTTCATGTAACGTATACTATAGAATTTCAGTACTGGCAGTGAATTTCGGAACGCAGCCCAAGTTGGCGATTCTCTGTACTAAAGGTTCTCTAGTTGCACTGACCCCTGTTGCACTTCGAAAAAGAATAGCGATGCGACGTCATTTCCGCTAAAAAAAGAACGCTTTGTTGTACACTCCATGCACTAGTGCACACTAGTTCAGAAAGTTCTTCGAAAAAGAACAAACCTACTGTATGTAAACTGTGCCGAGTTTCTGGATGTATCTCTAGATGAACCTTATTAATCATGACATAACGACAAGTGTTTAGACAGGACAAGTGGGATTTAAAGTCTAGCTTGAAAAGGTGAATTATGTAACTTTAATTCAATAAAACTTATTAACACGCCACGTTCAGTATATGTAATAATAAATACATATTGATAAATATCTCATAAAACATTTTATTAGTATCTCTTCTATTCGTAAAACTGACAACCATCAAAATTAACCTCTACCGTGAGAAACTTGAAAAAATCTAGGGTTTTGAACATATTTACTGATTTGACATGTTGATATATGATAAGCGCAATTGTCGATAAGCTTTATTGTTTGTATATAATGAAAATAATTGGCTATCTTTAATATATTTGCAATATATAGGATGTAATTAAAAGTAGTTCCATTATTCACTGTTCTCTAGATGGGAGGTCATGAGCATGGTCATAAGCCACCGTATGTGATACCAAATCATGAAATTTACAAGGTGGAAGATGTCCCGCAATTAAAAGCAGTTCAGGAAAAGTTAGCCAAGCGAGGATTAAAGGATCCTTGGTTGAGAAATCATGTGTGGCGTTACCAAACACAATATAATAAACATATACCACGTCCATTAATAATTCTAACTAGAGGCTGGAGAATTGCCATACCAGCGTTTCTAATCACCATAGCTGTGGAGAAATATTTTGGCATCGATTATTCTGGTCATTCTCATCACAAGGATAACCATGGGGATGACCATCACTAATATCCAACTTAGGTATTAACATTGTGCATTAAAAAGCAATAGTATGGGGTAGTTGATAATGTCACTATAAAATGTGATAGCTGCATGAATATATTAAGATACAAAAATTCTCCATTCTTTTGATAAAAGACTCTTGTGTCTGTTTTATATTATTATTTGCTAAAAATCTTGTTTCAGTTTTCTGTATACAAATGTAAAAATATGATTCTAATTAATAATCATAGAATAATCAAAAATTAATTTTAAGCTTTATATAGATTATTACAATAAAATTCTTAGTTGAATGAGGACTAACTTTAAGAATTAACAAGTGCTAATTACATGATATTGGTTTAACTCCTGTCATAAGTCTATGGCCTGTATTAATAGTCGTTGTTTGAAACTCTTTTCAAGTGAGATACTCATTTAAATTTAGAATTAAATGAGTTCTTCAGAATCGCGATTGCAAATATAATGTCATATATATATATGTTTTAACTGAGAAACAGATCTAATTCTAAATTCAGATTTGAATATCTCATGCGAAACAAATTTGAAGTAATAACTATTAATATTAATATGTTATAATATTTATTATAAGTTATATCTATTATAATTTAGTTAGCCATAATTTAGTTATAATTAATTTTACAACCTCTACATTAAAAATCTCTTATCCAATAATGACTTGTTGCAGAGATTTCTCTTAACATTAAATCTGATGATTATCAGAAATAACTGCGATACGAGAACTGTCGTTATACAGGCGAGTACATAAGTGCCGTACAATGCCAGAAAGAACGCGAATACGGTGATCTCAAAGGTCGCTAGTAGCCATTCGTTTCCGTAAAGTATCACTCTGTTGAAGGAATAATTGTTATCTGCAATAAAGTCGCATTTAGAAATGACTATGCACGCGTTAATTTTTATCAATATTGCGCAAATTTTATTACCGATATAGAAGACAGATTTATCTTTGGCATCTTGGAAAAAAACATCGCACAGTTTCTCCAATATATGTTGTTCCTTAATTATATAATCCTCACTTTCTGAGCAATGATCTAGGAATTGTGTCAGAAATATTCTCACTTTCGATCTGATTTCGTTCAATTGTTTCCAGCTTTTAGAAGGTGTTTCACTACTTCTGAATGCTCCTATATTTCCCTAAAATATACATTATGAGATACATATAATAGTCATAATTATAATAACCATAACAATTTTCATAATTATATAAAAGCTATCGTGAAAAGTTAAATCAAACAATAAAAAAGTCAAAATCAATGAGATATTAACGCAGCATTTTCGCAAATATCGAACTCACATTATCCTTCTGCTTCATAAGCTCGTCGTACAAAGATTTGAAAGACTGGGTCAATGATACTATAAAAGTCTGCTCGGTCGTTCCAGGTACCAGGCCTCTATGTGCGCACAAGTTGTCCTCCTCCTTCTTTAAGTCGTTTATTAGCGTAGGAAGATCGGTATCCGCATATCCATGTACAGATCTGTCACGAAAAAACAAAATTAACAGAATTTGTCGCAGTCTCGCGCAATAATGCTGTTGCTTGAATTACCTGCCGTGGATGTAGAAACCATAATAATTGTGCGCCAAAATGAGTACGCTGATATTCGCAACTGAGCACAAGTCTACGAATTTCTGCAATCTGTTCCGGATGTACCGCTCATAAAACATGATGCGGATCAACCATTGTATAAAGTACACAGATATATATACAAACGTACAAATCGCGTATTGCAGCGTAAAATTATTCTTCACTTCAGATTTGTCTGCAACGTTCGCTTCCGGTACCGCCAGCATCCACGACTCCAAGTCGAATATCTATAATGATACGAATATTTATATGATTATTATTTGATTTGCTGTAGATTATAACAGTTTTGTAAATAGAGATATTTTCTCTAGAGTCTCACACCTGCAAAACGCACAGAGTGTAAATCGACTGCAACGCTACGTTTATTCTCCGTTTAGTCTGCAGTTTACACCATTCGTTCGCGACAAAGTAGGTCCTCCAGACGCTGATCGGCAGGTTGTGAGTGTAATTATGCTCTGCTGCCTCCTGCAAAGGCGACCTCGACAGTGAGCAAACGGAAGAGAAGTCCGGCGCGTACTTATCAGTCGCGGAAGACTTTGAGATCCCGCTCGGGCTCGCATTTCCGTCTGTTTTACGCAATCTTTTCTTTCTCTTGGATGCGATGATGTCCGACGATATTCTTGTGGATGCTCCGTCGCTACGTGGAAATCTGTTGGCGTATAATTTTCGCAGGGAGGTATGCGGCGAGTCGTATTTCACTTGATTGTGTATCGTTCTCGGTTGCTCCCAGTCAACGAAGAATATACTTAAATCCCAGTGCTGACAGATGAAGCCTATCATCTCTACAATCTGGATGAAGAAAACCGAATCAATTACGATAACATACTAAAAGTACATGAACAGTTTACATGTCGCAAGAAGGATATGTAAATTTCGTTAAATTATTTGTAGGAAATCATTTAATTATCAAAAATGTCTGTAGATTTTTAATTAATATCCGATATAACCGCATTATTCTGCTTACTTTGAAGCTGAATGCTACACTTATGTATATCTGGATTCTTTTTTCATTGGTATCGCCGGGAAGTAAAATGTACGGTACAGTTTGGCCTTTGTAAAAGACGAACAAATACACGCACGCGCTGATGCACACAAAAGTGATGACATTCCCAACAGCGCCCATTGCGTAGACCAGGAACCACAATAAAACGGTTATACTAAGATTGCCGTTGTGATTGCGCTTGTAATAACTCCCTGCCCTGATCGTGGAAAATATCAGAGCTACCCCCGTCAGCACTCCAATAGTTATCTGAAATTTGACATTTAAAAATGAATTATATCATTGCGTGGGATACATTACTTCGACTTTTTAATAACTGTGATTTTGACCTGCACATTGTAGTCCACGTCACTGTCCTTCAATGTGAATGTAACTTTATATTCTATTACGACATCTGGATTATTGAGAAGATCCTGTTGTGTCAGTTCGTCGTACTGTACGATTAAGAAGGGCGCAAAGATTTTGCCATGTTCTTCTCCGTTCTGAACGTTCACTCTGCAAGAAACGTCTCTTCATCGCTTGTCGATCGTTTGCAAAAATGTTGATGAAGGTTACGAGTGACTTACAAAATAGTTAGAGACTTCATGTATCGAAGGACAGAGAGCTCCGACGCTTTCGCGAATCCAATGTTCATAAACGTGGGTAACGTCTTGAAGCCGCTTACATTGTCGACTAGAAAAAATTTTCGCACTAACTGCTGTTGCAAGATTTCGCCAATATTCTGTGAAGCGTAAAACAATTAGATGAATATTTCTTAAGCTATTTTTTATTGTTGATTAATTTATTATTATTTATCTACAAAATATAGTTTTACTTCTCCCGCAGATTTGACGATCACAGGTAACGAGTGCGTGAAAGACTTATTGCCGTCCTTGAATATTAAATAGGGAGATAATAACTCCACTTGTGCGTTCAATAGTTCGATAGCGGTGGTTTTGCATTTTTTGTTGTAATTCACACCGAACCTCACATTTCTCAAAAGCTGGCAAGGAAGACTGGGCCTGCCGATGGACAAGAATTTGCCGTTCAACGAGAACTTGGCTATTGCGAAGTCGAGGATACTGCTCTAAAAATGCACAATAAATTTGAAACAAATTAATTAAATTATCGCCAAAGATTAAATTATCGGATACACGCATCTCGTTTATCGTACATTATCTCCTCTTCTGAGACTGTATCTCTCAGTTATCTTCGTGTCGTTTAGTATCGACACAGTGTCTTGCTTGCTGTAGAACAACCACACCGGTGCCAAAGGTGTGTGCATAAAAAGCATGCAAGCTATGCCATCCGTGTAGAGAGTCAGGGCGCATATATTCGACAAATGTTCGCACGCCATTCTGTCTTTCCTCTGAAAAGCAATCATCAAGTTCGTAACATCTTCAAGGAAACGTAAGACTAAGGTAGTCTTAGAGTGAATCTCTGTGTGTATGTGTACCTTGCAGAGATGCACTGCTACTTGCAATTCACTTCGCAGGTAATAACTGTCCACGTTCTCGCTTTGAAATTTCATCAGATACGTGCTTCTGACATCAGGCCAGTCAGCAACGTCGTCCTTGCGCAAACAGTAATTCCGTAGTCTTACGTGCGTCGCGCTCGGGCACACGCAATTCGCACGACCGCTATACTCGCGGCCGTCGCACGGCAAGCATTTGGAACAGTCGACGGATGGGTACGTACCTTGGACACATGTTACACAAAGCACTGTGTCCAACAATATGCCGTTCACATTTCTGTCCACTGAAAATGTGTTGAGCAAGTCTTATCTTATATTTTTAATTTATAATTCTTCTTATGCTATTAAATTTTATCTTACACCAATATTTTCTATATTTCTATAAAATTGTGTAAAATAAAAAAAATTACTTTTTGCATTAATCAAGAAACTCTAGTTCTCAATAAACATTAAACTAAAAGCTGGTTAAGAAAAATGATCGAAATTAAATTAATTAATTATCTCAGATAAGTCTTATTTGAATCAAGAAACATTTTAATAATTTAATCACCTCAATTATAAATAAAGACAAACCAAAAATTAATAAAAAAAAAGTATTATTATGCGTAATCTTATCTTATATTATTACTTTATCTTATATTATTACTATACCATAATATTTTTTGTATTTTTGTATAATTATGGGGAATAATCAAGAAAAATTGCTCTGCTTTTTGCATTAATCAGGAAACCTTAATTCCTAACAAATCACATTAGACTAAGAGCTGGTTAAGAAATATTGTCGGAATTACGTCTTATTTGATTCGAAGAACATTTGCATGTCGCATTCGGGCGCAGGATGCATTCCCTTCCATCAGCGGTCGCGATCATGTCGGGGCCGCAAGCGGCACAAAGAGGATTGCCGTTCTCGTAGCCGATCGTCCTGCTGAATATGTTGCACGTGCATTGCAAACCTGCGTGAAGCTCAGATAAGTATATCATGAGAAAATAAAATGTGAAAAACTTACGATTCGTGGCCGGCTCAAGATTCCTGCTGGCGTTACATCGCGAGCACGATAAGGAGAGTGTATCGAAGTACTCGTCATACCTGCAGGAACTCGGTATCCAGTACTCGAGCACGTCATTGTTCACGTTAATCGCGCCCGCGAATGACGGGAGAATAATTGCAATCAGTGTCGCGTAACGATTGCAACTGTCACGGATGCAGTTCATATTTGTTTACACGCCGCCATGGTAATGGTTGCCATGACGACGATGCCGGCAACTTCAGTGTTCAAGTACTGCCAACGCTTGAAACGGATTTGTTTTTTCATCATAATATGTTGGTCACTACAAACAAATACGTCACGTGACAAATACGTAATTCAATTTGAACGAGAGGTCCCGAAGCGGAACAATTGTTGCAAGTACTGGGACCACAATTGTAAGTTTCTTTTATGCTAATTATCTCTGAGCTACCTGTAAACGATTACGCATAAAATAACAGTCAGTCGACTAGAGATATGATCACACAAATATGTTTTACCCAAACTCTTTGATTTCATTATCATGAATAAACTTTCCAAACCATATTTGTGGGTTATTGCAAAAATTCCGTTCTTATAAATTGAAACTGATATAACTGATCGAAGAGATATAAAGTAATACATAGAATGTAATTGCAGACTTAACAATTTTACAAAATTAGTGCAATATGAGATTCTATCAATAAATTCCAAAGTGTTTCAATAAAAAATGAATCAAATAACACTACAATCTACAATAATAATAATAAATCACACTTATGTCAAATTCTATGTTCTTTTCTAATTCATACCTACACAGCAGAGGTGTCTAAAATATATCATAGAGATATCCTAAAGATATATTAAGATATATGATATTTTCAAGATATCCCTATGATGTATTTGGGACATTCCTGCTGTGTGAGTATGTACAATCAAACGAACCAATTAACTGGTATCTGTTTAACGATAAAGCTGGCTGCCCAAAATGAAAAAGGGATCATTAGTTTTCGCGTCTTATGGATCAAGAAAGTGCTTCCGGAGGACATACTACGTGAACGACGTAAACTACATTTACGCGTCAATTTCGTCAGGATCACGTTCACGTATAGTTCCATGGTTCCGTCGGAAGCAGCAGGCGGTAGCTAAGTAAGTAAGCAAGTAAGTAGGGATAGCGCGGCTGCGGAGAGTGGGAAACAATTCGGGCGTCGCGACCGCCGTGGGAGTCGCGCCGCTACTTCCGACGAAACAGCACCCTAAGGGATAACACCTCGTTACTATCGTCTAGGTAAGGGCGCCTTGATATCCGCGCGCGCGTGTCTCTTCCCGTTGGTAAAACTCCCGTTGACGGACAGATCAGGCAGGTGGTTCGATTTGTATTGTTTGTATTGCGCATACACAGGCTTCGCCGTAACGGCGAGTTCGATCGTGATGCAACGCAGCGGGCATATCGTGGTGAGCGAGATTAACGGCGTTCGTCGTATACCAATTACATTCCCGATCGGATTGGCATCGTTAACGGAGTGCTGACAGCCGTCGTCCGTCATAATCGCGATTGCGAAATCATAATTGCACGCTCGGGATCGTTCCACAATTAAAGAGCGCATACCTGATTCTATATACACGCGCTAAGCACAAACGTGCTCTCAACAGTGCGTCCCGAAACTTGTGTAACCGTGCCGATTTTTAATCATCATTTTGCAGGCGATATTAATATTCACGACCCGCTCAAAACGCAGAAACATCTATTCCTCACGATCGCCCGTATGTTTCTCCCAAACGATGTTTATTCTTTCTTACATGATTGGTTACGGTGTGTACTTAATGCGGTAACAATCAATCCGATAAAAATCGCAGATTTCTCAGTACCATAGCGACACAAAATTACCAATTAATTGAATAAATGAGTATCACGTTTAATATCAATCATATCGGCATAATTAATTGCTCGTTAACAGCGTTAAAAAATGATGTAGTTGGCGAAACTGTGGCGCCGATTATGCGCGCAACTGGGATCATTTTGTAATCGATATCGCCGTTTTTAAAGTGCTGTCTACCGGCTAAATTTGTCGAGCTTACGCAACGAGAAAGAGAGAACGAACGAACGAACGAACGCACGTACGCACGCGTTGTGTCCGACCATCTTGAGCGCCGTTTCGATCGAGCGAAAAATTCGCTTTCGCGCGCGTAATCGCTAGAGATTTCGCGGGGAGACGCATAGGAGTTTGCCACGTTTGAATTCTGAATTTCGTTTTTGTCAAAAAGTCGAAAGCATCATGCCAAAACAAATATGGGATACGTGGCACAGGTGTCCCCCGTTAAGGGATTATTTACGCGGTCGTAAAAGCTTCATCGCCGTCGCGCGGCGATGAGCTCTCTTGCGAAAACTGCGCTCGACATTCGATACTCGCAGAGTCCGCACAAATTGACACGAGGACGCGGCGCAATTGCGCGATTTATTTAAGTCCGCCGCTGTCGCGCGTGTATTCGGGGCTATACGTTAAATAATATACACGGGAAAACGACGAGACGAGACGCAAGGAGACGAGATGAAACGAGCCGAGTCGCGCTGAGTCAGAATCTAAAACAGTTGGCATTATATCGCGGCGAGTAACTCATTACCGCATTTGTGTGCGGCCCCGCGTCCGGTCTGTCGCTGATCCGTTTCACTGGTCGTCGACGCTCTTTCTACAGACTGTCGCGCAAAGCACGTCCAAACGGGCCCCGGGATAATTCATTGCTCGTGCGAGTGCCGATTCCACTAAACAGCGCGAGGCTAAGTTTTTCTGAGGATCACCAGTTGACACTTTAAACAGCCTCGTCATTCCGTCAATGCTATTTTCACAGCTTGAACTCAGCTTGAACAGTTGCAAGTTCTTCTTAACCACAGATCTTGTTAATTTTAACAGGATTCTGGTAACTTCAAACAGAATTCTGATTCGTTCATATTTTACCAAAAACTTGGTTAATCCAACCAAATCTTTTTTTCCCAATCTTCTCGGTCGCGTACGGCTGGGGCGCGCTTTTCAGTCAAGCTCCGTGGCGTTTTCAACTCTTGATCTATCGATCATGTATCTTTTTCTCCAGCACGAATTCGTGAAGAGTGAAAAGTTCAATTGAATTCGTCAATAAAAACAATCTCTCTTTATATTAAATATACTACTATAACACTAATGATAATATGACTATCACTTTTTCATTTGAACAACAGAAAATATAATTGGTATTGAACAAATATAAATATAAAAAAAAACTTTTCGTGCTGAAGGAAAAGATATATGATCGATACTTTGATGGCCGTGCATGTCTGCAAATGAAAAAAATCTCGATTACTATTTGACATTCGAGTAGATTTAAAATTGTACATATACTTTATTTTAAATAGCAATTTCAATATTTCGAGCGAGAGAGAATGGTAAATACGTTGACTTGCGCGTCGGCGAGCCGCGATTTTCCTGAATGGAACGCGACTTGGAACGTGCAGACATGACGCTGCGTCGCTCATAGTAAAATGCCTTTGGATGTATGAACGAGCGATTGAGTAATAAGTTGATCTGCTCTAAATTATAGTTACTTTTCAAGCGGACGCGCGCCAGACGCGTACACGCCAATTAAGTCGAGCAAACGATCCTCTTGATCGAAAGAAGCCAACTATAGTTTGTCACCTCTTTGGCATGAACGATTCTCGACGTAAAACCTGCGCTTGTCCTCCACCGGGGAATCACCGCCTCTCTCTCTCTTTCTATCTATCTCTCTCTTTCTCTCTTTCGAGATGTCATATCATCTGTTTATTCCGAGCTTGCGAATTTATTTCCAACGCGTCGGACGGCGCGCCGTAACGCCTATTTCGAACTACCGCTATTATTGGAGTATTTGTGTCGATGATCCGGCCATCTCTCGCCTCGAGAAAGAGCCAATGAAAAACCATATCGTTGTTTGCTTAAAAAATAAAAATAATAAATAAATCGCCGCCGCGTACGAAACGACCAGCTGTCAAAACAGTTCTATCGTCATGTGATGCATTGTCCGTCGCACTTTCTCTCTCTCTCTCTCTCTCTCTCTCTCTCTCTCTCTCCCCCTCTCTTTCTCTCTCGTTGATGCACATCAAGAATTTTTGGCGTAATTCGCCGGAATACGTATTCGAGTTTCTACATGAGGAGAATATTATAGTATCTTTTTTTTTTATAAATTCTTTTCAATTTTACTATATTCTTAGTAGTTCAGAAATAAACTGACAGTAAGGTCTATTTCGCTAGAAACGTAGCAGATTTCGCTAGAAGCATAGTACATGTTTTGAAAGCACATTTCATAATTCCCGAAAAAGTAACACATGTATGAAATGAAAGATTAGAATGAATTACTTATTAGAATATCGATCTATTCCTCAATTACAAAATCCTACAATATTTTCTATGAAATTCTCCGATGTAACCGCCCGAATCTGCCTCTACGAGGCTCGTCGCCGAGTATCAAGTAAAACTTGATTAATCGCCATTAAATTTGCAACTTTGTCTAACGGACTTTTCGCTCACAGAGCAGGAATTTGGCGCTGCCTCATTATGTGTGTACAATGCGGCGCGTTGTTAATTTGTTTGCAAGTGTAACCTGAGGAATTCGCCTTTTAGTAGCCTCGATAATTTAATAGCCGACGAAAATAAATCTGCTGCCGTGTACTGCGCTCATTAGCCTATTTGTGCGATATTTGTCGCCGCACAACCGTGCGGTGCACGGCCCGTGGTCGCGCAGCCTCTCGACTTAAAAATAATTTCGAAACAAAAGACGTAGGCGGGCGAGAGACATTAATCTTGCGATCTGAGACTGAAGACTCGCGAACGCGTCGTGGCGTTATCGAAAGCGACGAGGAGCGACTTGAATCATCGTCCAACCAATGTCGATCTGTATTCGCGAGTACATTGGTGAATTATTCGCGTGATCATCAGTAATCTACTTTCCTGTAGATCTATTCTATGTACGGAAAGAATTTCACAAGACAAATTTCTATAGGATTTTGTAATCGAGAAATAGATCGATATTCTGTAGTAATTCATTATCCTTTCATTTTATATATGCTACTTATATTTTAAAAATTGAAATATGTTATTAAAACATTTGCTATGTTTTTAGCGAAATTTACTATGTTCCTTAGCAAGATAGATTTTACTGTCCACCCTTGGAGTTCAAAAGACATAGTAAAATTGAAAAGAATTTATACGAAAAGAAAAATATTTTATACATATTCTTTTTTCCGTGTTTTAACGACAGTGTTAGTTACAGAATAGGAATAATTCTTGAGCTTTTCTAAAATTCTTCAATCAAATGTCCATCAACGTTTATCATGCGTCTACTTGCCTAGATACAACACAGATACAATTGCTCAGTCTTTGGTGTAAGCACATGAGAGTAATTATTCCATTCTTATCGATTTTCGCCTAATTAAACAGATAGTCGCGTTCCCGCGTTCTGATTCCGGCCAGCGGTCGAGAGTGCGATAATGAATTTGCCACGAGATAGACCGTGTCTACGATCGTTATCACGTACACAGATACAGAGGACGGCCCTGAAGTAAGGGCGAGTGGGCGCTCAGAGATTCACGCCTCGTATTCAGAGAGTCTGTCCCGGGCTTGCGTGTGCCGTGCCAGTTCAGTTCACGGGCACCAAATTAGACGCGGGCTATTTTCGATCAGCGTACAGCCGCTCGCTCCAGTTTGCCGACTACGAACCATCGAGAAAGATAAAGAGAGAGAGAACTTGTCGGACTTTTGTTACACGCGGTATAGCACGTCACGGTCCTCCCGGTAGCTCGCCACGTGGAAGACGAGGATCGAGAAACTCAAGCCACGTGTCTTACGTTGGCAAAATGATTCTCCGCGTTATTCACCGCTGCACGTGGGTGGTGCATAACTGAGGCGTTCGCTCACACATTGGAATTAGAGCTCGTTGTTATGTTAATAACAATGCCGCCGTGATATCCGTATTTGATCGGCGTTAAATGTGCTCGCAGACTGCCAATTATGCGCTCGAGTCAAGATTTATGCAATCAAGTTTGGCAGATGATTAAACAACAGTTGACTGCACTCCTGAAATATTCGATTTTATGAAATACTAAGAAATACTAAGAAATACTAAGAAATATTTTATGACAAGAAAATACTTGATGAGAGATCGTATGATACGTATGAAAGCTCAAAAAGTTACCATAGTTATCTTCGCTACCGATCGTTCTCTAATACGATTCCCTTAATACGTTCTTATCAATTCATTCGATTTGTCTTTGCAGCTCAACAAGAAGGCAGCCTAAGCGAGATGTCCAGACCAATCCTTAGCAGGCCGCGTACGCGCATCTACGGCAGCAATTACGACAAGGGCGAGTCCTATTACAAACCCATGGTCGACCACCTAGATCGGAAGTACAGCGGACGGCCGTTGTTCCCGGAGCCGAGAAATTCACTAGCTGATGAGATCGCGGCCCGCCGTAGCGACATCGGTAACCTGTTCAGTCGTTTTCCAAAGTGGTTTTGACGGAGTGTTGTAAGACTTCTCCCAGACCCTCCTCGAGAGATCGTCGACGAGGCACGCTGAATAGATTCGTTGTGTCAAAAATCAAGTATCTGAGATGAACTCTTATCTCCTAGTTTCCTTCGCCACCTCTCCCCTGCAATCTCGCTCCAACTCCCACGACTCGCATGATCGATCATCGTCCACCTCGCTGCGCGCGCGCGCGATATACCGTCAGATTACGATCTCATCCTGAACTAGAAGATCGCGATCCTCGATTAGTCTCGCGATCGTTAAACCTGTTGAATTTGTAAAGAGTATTGTGGATAAATTAAAACAAAAAGAGAAAAAACAGAAAAAACATTATGAGAGATAAAGAATTGTATAATGAGATTAATTTAATGAGAGATACAGTCTTTTGGATACTTTGTACAGTCCTTTCTCGATACTGTTAAGTTCACAAAGCTGTGCGGTGCTGTGGTGATCAGCGAACGAGGTGCTCGCGTTTCAACAGGCTTATTCGAGCAGATAAAGCTAGGCGTCATCCTTTTCTCCAGTGCCAGAGCCGGTTCTCTGTTTTGCGTGCATCGATTTCCGTTGTCTCGCCTTCTTGTCTGTAGTTAGTCTCTTGATTGTTGTTGATCCCACCCCCTATTCGATGTATCATCTTGCGACTTGTTGAATAAATACTGTTGAATGTTGTTTGGATTTTCTAAGTACTCGTGATGTTACGCGGGAGGTCTTGGTGTAATGATTGACACGTACGCGTGCGCTACAACGATTAGATCGACGATCTGCGGTGATCGAGAAACCGTGGCTGCGAGAACCGTGCCAGCTTCTTCTTCTTCCTCTCGAGGATCGTTTCGTCGGACTTCGACATCGCAAAACTTTATCTCAGCCTCCAGTTGAGCTCCGGGCGTTTGGGGTGCATACAGTCCGCATGCACACTCACGCTCGCGTCTCGCATCAACACAGACCACGGTGGGGCGATTTATGAAAGGTGTTGCGTGTCCTCCTGAGTGATATGTCTGCAATAAAGTTGACAGTGATCGTGCGGTTAGCGGCGAATAAATTTACGCGGCTCTGCGCGCGGCCTTTCGTCGCGCGAGAAACGAGAATCCACGCCGTGCGATAAAAAAAAAAAAAAAAAAAAA